GATGTTCAGGAAGGGGAATACATTAATGTGGACAAGTAGTTTCCTGCTGTTTTGATTATTATTAATGAAGCAATAGATCAATCAGTTAGCCTGTTATTACTGGGAACTTTCTATGCATTCAGAACTTTTTTTTACAAAATCCAAGAAAAGAAGTACAAGTTATGAACTCTGTCTAAAAGTCAGGTACAGAAAGAATAGAGAATTCTAAAATCCACAAAATTGTGTTAAGCAAAATAAGCCAGACTCAGAAAGTCAAGGAAGGGTCATGCACTTTCTATCATATGTCAAACTAGAGAGGGAAAAAAATGGAAAAGAAAAGATATCTAGGGAAAATAGAAGGAAAAACAGTAAGGCAGAGGAAGAGGATCAAATGGAGGGACAAAGAGGGGAAAGGGAGATATTGGGGAATAAAATAGATCAAATTGTTATGTGCGTGTACACATGTGTCACAGTGAATCCCAATAATATGTATAATCAGAATGCACCAATAATTTTTAATGGAGTGAAAGAACATGGACTTTGAGTGTCTGCCTTTAGAAATTCATTTGATTAAAAATTTTCAACAGTAAAAAAAAAAAAAAACACAAAATCTAGCCCTCAAGGAGTTTATTACCTACCTGAAGTATTGTGAGAATGCTGCCTTTTCTCAGAGATTCTATAAGCAGTACTATGAAAAATGTCTAAAGTAAGGACAAATATAATAGTTACTCCATAAGAGAAATGGACCCTGGCAATAATAATAACTAGTGTTTCTTGAACCTTATTTAATTCAGGCACTACTTAATCTCTTTTTTTGAATTAAATTAATCCTTGCAACAACTCTCCAAGATAGACATTATTTTCATTGCCATTTTATAGGTGGGTAAATTGAGGTACAGGTAGATAAGTAACTTGTTCAAGACTACATGAATACTACTAAGTGGATAAGCTAGGATTTATATCTGAGAAGTTTGACTTGATACCTGGTCTCTTAATCACTGTGCCACAGCAACTTTTTAAATATAAACAATGATCAAAACTGACTGTTTTTTTGTAACAGTAGCAACTTCCAAAGACTAGGTAGCTCTGAGCAAATTCTCTCTGGCCTGAGTCTTGTAGTTAACATTAGTGATAGAATTCTAACCCAGACCAGAGTAAAATGATTGATATATTCAGTGGACAATCTTTGGACCAATTTTGCCAGTTCATCAACATTTCTTGGTAATTGCCGAATCTCAGCTCTGGAAGCAGACCTTGCTGCCACTCTGAATTTAACCTCTCCGGTTACTATCAGTGCCAGGAGGAAAGGATGGTATCTCTGGTCTGAGAGGGCCAGTAAAGGAAAATGACTGATCTAAGGGCAGATACCAGGATTGAAGATGTATGGCTTGGAGATGGAGAAAGCACAAATCTGTAGTGTGCTCCCTAATTAGGTGCAATAATAAGTCCTATAAATAAACATTTAGACAGTGATATTTTGCATAAAATAGGGTGTTTTTGCAGTTAATAAAATGTGAATTCATTTCAAAATGTTGCTGATAATGAATTCATAGTACTTTTTGTCATGAATTTTCTTAAGTAGTATGTGCCATAAAAATAATTATTATCACAAAGTGGAGAAGACATGTGAACTTCTTTTAAACATAAATAGGACTCTTTTATACTTAAAAAGGTTGGAAAACATGTCTAGAACAGTGGTGTCCAACCTTTTGTGAGTTAGTTCCCATCACTTGAAAGATTTGAGCAAACATTCTCTGTATGTGTATATTTATTATAAATTATGTACAACAGTATTGATTGATATGCCATGTAATATTATAAACATTTGTAAAAAAAAGATAGTAGAGAAATTTTTATTTCCATCCCCTATACACATACCCTATGTACCCATAGGAATCCATGCTTTCTACCTGGGGACCAGAGTAGATCATCAGAGGGTGAAAGGAGTGATATTCCCCTTCAGGGCCTGCTTTAAAGTATAGCAAGTAGTTTTAAATCAAGATACAGTTTAGTTCGCTTAAGCCGTATTGGTCACTACCTCAGCTTTTTCATCAGAAGGACCCCAGTGTGGGGCAGGGTAGCGTGGAGTCGGGGAACCCAACTGGATTGTTAATCAGCTGCAAAGCTTAGAGGAAAGTTACCTCCCGAGATTTCACAACCAGCCCTGGGCACTTTGGCAGGGAGGAGGCAGGCTTGCAAACATCCAAGGACTGCCTTGAAGCCACTCTCTTTAGTGCCAATTGTTTTGCTTCCCATTCAGGAGCCCAGAGGGGTGCTGCTGTGCTGATGTGTGTGGTGTTCACCTGACTCCTCCTGAGAACCCAGGGAAGCATCTGAAATTGGTTGCTGCAATTCTTAATAACATACTCCCAAGGGCCCACTTGGTTGTGGAAACTAGCCTGTTTGATCAAAAGACTCTGTTTCTCACTTTATTGTCTTGATTTGTAAAGTAGAAATTCCAGCTTCTCAGGTCCCAGGCAGAGTTTTCTGTAGTCTACTAGTTTCTGCTTTCTTTCTGGAGAACTATAATGACTAAAGAATCAACCCAACCTCTTCATCTTGACATCTGCTGTGGTTTAGATGTGTCCCCTTTAAAATTCATGTGTACAATGTGACAGTGTTAAGAAGTAGACCATGAAGAATGATTAGGCCATGAGTGCACCTCCCTCATGAATGGGATTAAGTCCCCTGTAAGAGTGGCTTCACGTAGAACTGAGCCCCTTTCTCTCTCTTTCCCCATGTGAGGACATGGTAAGAGAACCCAAGTAACTAGAGGCCACTACCTTGATCTGGGTCTTTCCAACATTAGAACTTTAATAAACAAGTTTCTATTCTTTATCAGCTACCCAGTCCTGGGTAATCTGTTATAGTAACATAAATACAGTAGCACCTAAGACTTCATTTTACATATCTAGTGCTTACTTTGTATATCTTTAAATTAAAAGTTATCCTTCAGTCAGGGTGGTCTTCTTACTACCTTCCCTAACACTCTTATAACCCCTTAGCCTCATACACATATACGTGCATGTGTGTGTGTGTGTGTGTATGTGCACACACACACACACACACGCACACACAGAGACATACATTTGCTTATTCTGCTTTTATGCCTTTAGTCTGTTTAGTCCAAGTGGAAACTCTTCTTCTTCTCATCCGTCAAAATCCTGTCTACCCTTCAAAAACAAGTCCTGCTTTTTCTTTTTTTTATTAAAGATAGATAGAGAGAGAGAGAGGGAATTTTTAATATTTATTTTTTAGTTTTCGGCGGACACAACATCTTTGTTGGTATGTGGTGCTGAGGATCAAACCCGGGCTGCATGCATGCCAGGCGAGCGCGCTACCGCTTGAGCCACATCCCCAGCCCAAGTCCCGCTTCTTATATAAAGATTTTACTAAATCAGTTTCCATCCAGGTGTGGACCTCAGACAGCCTGCATTAATATCACCTAAGATGTGACCAATGTAAMTTCTTGGTTATCACCTGAGACCTTATTGCTTCTTGTAAATGTGAATTCATGGCTTTCTCCCCAGTTGCTTATCAGCTGTAACCACTGAAGTGTGGCCCAGGAATCTGCATAGAGCAATTTGAGGACCACTGTCACTTGCTAACAGCTTTCTCTTTAACCACGGAGTCCATTTCTCTCCTCCGTTAAGACCTCTAGAAACGATACCCCAGAGCGTTCAACAGAGAATGATTGGTTCAGGATTACATTTAGAGCTTTCACAGAGGAGGCATCATTTCCTTGCATTGTGGTAACTCATTAATGAGGTCCTGCTCCTTAGAACATATAGGGCTGCAGGCATCAAGGTCACATCCTTTCAATTTATCCCTATTGCCTTTGACTTGAATCCATGCTGTGAAATCAGACACCAAGGGCCAAAGGCAGGGCAAGCTGTGTAGGACCTGGGCCAGAGGTGTGAAGTGAGGAATAGGGGCACAATGATAAATGTTTACCAGCCCCTAGGAGCCTGGAGAGAGAGAGAGAGAGAGAGAGAGAGAGAGAGAGAGAGAGAGAGAGAGAGAGAGATATGAAAGCGAACACCAGCACTGCTTTTTAATAGAGTGAAAGAGAGCTAGGATGGTATGTCCTCTTCTGGCCTCTCTTTGTGTCAGGGCTTCCCTCTTCCCATCAGGGAAAGGGAAAAACACAAGTTAGGCTAGAAGATGAGGATGTGCATTGAATGTTTCCAAGTCCACCTCTATTAACTTGACAGACAGCTCTAGAAAGCACTCGGGAACACTAGCCTTTGAACAAGGAGAAATCCCTACCAGTCTGTCTAGCTGGGGTTTGGTGTATTCCCCTTGTCTTCTTAGTGAGGGCTTCACTGCTTTAGAAACTGGATTCCTTTTATGTGTGTGTGTGTGTGTGTGTGTGTGTGTGTTTGTGTGTGTGTGTGACCAATTTGTATTACTAGCTTCATCTTGGATTTAAAAAAATGTCCAGATGGAAATAATTGGATTCATAAGCTTTATATTTATAGAATGCCTTTTCCAGAAAGCTCAAAGCACAGCACTCTATGGCATAACATAGTTTGTTCCTGGACTATCTCCATGTGTCTGGTAAGGGGCAGCTTCTTTAATTATTGTTGTCATTTGACATTTGGAGTGAGGAGAGGCTTTGTGGTTGGAAAGAATCACATGGTACTAGCAACAGAACTGGGAAGGGGGTTCTCAGCTTCCACTCCTGTCTCTATTAGTGATTTCCAAACTGAAGTCCACAGGCTAATGCCAGGAGGGCTGCGTAAGGACCACTTGAGAGGTTAAAAATAGAAGTTTCTGGACTCCATTCTTCTAGGGATTCCAACTCAGGAAGTCTTGGGTGGAGCCCAGAAATCTATATTCTTTATAGATTTCTAGATAATTTCCAGCATTCTAGATAATCCTGATTCACAGCCAGGTTTAGAAACTAATGACTATATGACAGCTATACTGCCCACCTTCTCCTCTCCAGGAATGTCTTTGATTGGAACGTGACTTTTTAAACATCTTTTTTCCTGCCACCTGCTCTCTAACTTTTCCAGGCCTCCCAGCTCAGGCCAAGAAACATGCTGAATCTGCCAAGAACATACTGTTGACCTGGAAGGGAAATGCATCCTCAGACAAGGAGAAAAAGGAAATCCTGGAAGCTCTRATCATGCTCAACTACACTCTGGGGGTGATCTGGCTCCTACAGAACCAATATCCTTTCATTTTCAGAAGGGTCTGGTGWTCAGGACCACAGGGTGTACCCTCCAGGAGGGTCATCGTGGGAGGGTGGGAGGTGACATTAAGTCCCTSTAGCTGCATTCCAGCCTCCAAGCCCTCCAAACCTGTCTCCATCTAGAAGGTAGGCATTTTCCTCCCATGTTTAGTCTTGCAAGCTGTGAGTTGAGCCATTGGAACGATCTCACTAATGACATATCACTCAGCAGTTGAAAGTTCTCCATGTTTGAGGTGCTCTTCATTGAGCACACAAGAAAATAAGTATTAGCAATGCAGATGTGAGCAGTGGTGGTGGCAGTGTAAAAATGGAGAGAATGGGCAGTAATTTAAGTCTCAGTTTGGCAAACTAGGCTACACATTGTAATTCCCTGGGAAATTTTAAGAATTACTGCTCTATGGATCCCAACCCGGAGTTTTTGATTTAGTAAGTTTGAGAAGTATTTATTCATTGAGATGTTTAGAWGTCCCCCACATGACTGTAATGTGCAGCTCAAACCCAGTATTTATGGATTTTTGATTATTTTATATTTTTTGGAATGCTGTTGAAAATATCGTCTGTGAAACTGGAAGCCAAGAAAACTAGATAAAAGAGGTCATTCTCCATGTCCCCAGAGGGTGACTGTRATATGTGGCCATGTTAGCTTTCTGTCACTCTGACAAATACTTGAGATACATCAGCTTATGGAGAAATTTATTTTGGAGAATTTGAAGGTTTTGGAGGTTTTAGTTCACAGTCCATTGGCCTCTTTGCTTTTGGGCCTGTGGCAACACAGCACATCATGGTAGGAGCAAAACCTCAAAGGAGAGAAGGGGCTGGAGTCCACCATCTTTTTAAAAGGTGCWCTTCCAGTGACCTCACATTAGGTCCTGCCTCTTAGAGCTTCTGCCACCTCCCAGTAGCACCATGCTAAGAACTAAGACTTTAGCACATGGACCTTGGGGGACATTTAAGACCCAAACTATAATAGCATCTCTCCCAAGAAGCAAGAGATTTTTATAGTTACTGTCTCCACCAGAAAGATGCTAAGGGTCTCTTATGTTCATGAATAATCATGATGTTCTCTCTACACATTCCATTCTCCACTTTTWAATTCTGGAGCTCAACTTGTGAAATCTGATTTGTGTCCTTCGTCTATTATGCTCTTAGCAGGGGGCTACTGAAAATGTGGGAAATAGAAGGGTATTTGGGAATTGAGGGGATTCCCCCCCCCCTTGCTATTTGCCTCTGGCTAAAAACCTGCCTTTCTTGGATTTTCTAAGTGACCCAGAAAGTCCCTTTCAGCATAATTAGTTCCTCTCTTACCATTCCTATGAAACAACTTGGGGAAAATGAATAACTGTTGTCACGCAATAGATGCTGCTAAAGGAAATCTAGTGTAATTTAGTGTTTCCATCCACACCTGCAAACCCTTACCATCCACTGCAGACCTGAATTTAGGCAATCTGCACAGGAAACTGAAGGCCCTGCTTTTTCCAGAGAATTCTTCCTTCTTGACAAAGAATACACACATATTTAAGTACCCATTTTCAAATACTGCTTCATTTTCCCAAGGGGCCCTTTTGTTTGCTTATCAACTGCTGTCCCTATGCAGTGGCAGTTAGTTTGTGTGCCTGGAATTTGCCTTGACTGTTTCACTGGCAGAGAGGCCTATTTCAACCTGCAGAAGGCAGACAGACTAATGAAGGAACTGAAAGGATTAACTAAGAGAGGCATTTGTGGATGTGGATTATACGTCTCAGAGAAAGACCTAACAATAGCTTTGGGCAGGTAAGATCTGGGTGTAGAGAAGCTGAAACTTATGAATAAGGCCTGGAGTTGCACGTTGTTTTGTGCTCTAATGAAGGGGAGAAAAATATTCATAGTTAAAAAAAAAAAACCCAGAAACTCATGATAATAAAAGAGGCTTCTATTTATCAAATGTATACTCTGCTCCAAGCTTTAATGTGCACTGCCACACTACTTAATCCTCACAACCATCATTGATGTAGTTGGCATGACTAAGCTCTCATTAGAGAGAGGGCATGGAGACCAAGGCTGAGGTTAAACAAATTGTCCAGGTGACCTATCTTGTAAGTGCTGGATCTGTGATATGAACTCATTGACTCTTAGCCCTTCTGTGTACTGCCTCTCACACTTATTCTAGGGTTGATTATGTTTTTCCCTRAATTGCCTCCTACTTTTAACATTATAATATCTTAACAGGGAAGGAACACTTAATGGAGAGAATTAATTGGATGCCATGAAAGCTATGCACAGTACGTGCATTTTTTAAGGAAAGTATTGTTCCATGTGGAAACAAAGTTAATGGAATTTGTTCAAGCCAGAATAAGACTTAACTGTTTTTTTTTTTTTGCAGTTGAGATAGGAATCCTTTGAGAATCAGAATATTTAGAAATGAGAGTAGGCTCATCATATTAAGAGAGAGAGAGAGAGAGAGAGAGAGAGAGAGAAAGAAAAGAAAAGTTTATACTGTTCCCTAGATTTTTCAAATATCTTCACATCCTTGAAAGCAACCTATTTCCAAAACTGTTAGCACTTGGCACAGTAGGCCAACGGGCCAAATGGTAAGTAAATAAAATGCATTCATCACCTCTGCCTCGTCTAAACAACTGTGGATCTAAAAATCAAATGGGAAATAGTGGGGAGATRTTAGAATGTCCAGAGCTAAATCAAACTATTGACTTAAGTCCATAAATTAGAGTATGGTAAATGTCAACTGCTATAACATGGGGCAGTGGCTAAAGTTGTTCTGCCTTATACGAAAGAAAGCCTTGTTCCTTTTTCAGAATGAATTCTAGTGCTTATTTTACTCATTCAGTCCACAATATTTACTGAGTAGCTATTTTGTGCATGTACTATTCTACGTGTTAGAATGTTTGCAGACCAACTATGTACTTGACACTGTTCTGAGTACATATAATTTATTTCATCCAGTCCTCACCACCGCATATGAGGGTAGATATTTTTACTATTTTGATTTTACATGTTTAAGGCACAGAAAGATTAAATCAGAGAAAGAGTAGTTCTGTCACTAATAGATCAGCGCCCYGTTTGTAACTAAAGCATCTGAATCCATAGCTCATCTTTTATACCACACTTAGTTGATATTAGATATCACACTTTGTTAGATATTAATCAAATATCTAGTGAGGGCAAGTCCAAGTCCATTTTTCCATTTAAGGGTAAGGAAACTGAAGAGGATGTTCAGGACAGACAACTTGCTAATATCACCCTGAAATCCCTTGATAAGAGCCATTGTCATTCTATAAGTCTGCTTTTATGGTCAAGGGAAATAGTGGTSTGATTGATTAAAAAATTATTGTTATGGGGTTGCGGTTGTAGCTCAGCGATAGATAGAGCACTTGCCTAGCATTGTGGGGTGCTGGGTTTGTTCCTCARCACCACATAAAAATAAAGACATTGTATCCATATACAACTAAAGGAAAAAATTATTTTTACAGAGAATTATTGGATAACATACCAGTGCTCTTTTAATTATTAATTCTAATCTTCAGGGGAAGGATAAACCTTCTAGCTTAAAAAAAAAAGAGGAATTATTGCTAGAATGCCTTAGGTAAAATAATTTTAAAAAGTCACCTCAATGTGCATCAAGGGATAAGGGGAAAGTAATAATGACTGTATGTGTATCTGCTATATTTTAGGTGATTTTACATATAGTACTTAATTTTTGCAACAACCTTGTAATTTAAATGTGTTTAATTATATGCTTAATTTGGAGGAAAACATAGGCTTCTGACATTGATAAAGCTATTAGCCATTAAAACCAGTTCTGAACTCCCCAGRTTTTTCTCATTGTACCTTGTTGTTTCTAGAAAGATAAACCTTGATGAGAGCCTGATCCTTATTTTTTTTTAAAAAAGTTATATTTCCAATTTTGTTGTAGGAAATTTGAAAATACAAATGAATATGAAGAAGAAAATAACAGTCAGTTGTACCTCCACCCAGATACAACTACTGTGAACACTTTGGCTGGATGTYTGCTGATCTATCTCAGAATCATATTTGATGCATAGTTTTATATCTTGCTTTTAAAATTAAGCACATTTTGAATATTTCTCCACATTGTTAATCTATAAAAACCAGGACTCTGTAAAGTACTTTAGTATACAATGTGCCATAAGTTATTTAGCCACCTCCTTAAAGGGATTGTTGCAATGTTTTCTCATCTTTAACTGAGGATGAACAAAKTAATTCAAAACAAAGCAGAAACTTTTTTTGAGAGAACTAGAGGGGATAAACTTTTATTTGGATTTTTGAGAGTATGTTTCTGAGTAAATTATCCCATCTTGTGAATTGTTGGATGCCATTTTCCCATTTTTTATAAAAATTAGTTGATGGCACAACATATTAATGGGTTAAATGAATGTAGGCAGTAGAATCTGATGAGTAAAATGCAGGATAATAGGAGTTTACTTACAGTAAAGCTGGCTCCAGAGCCAGGCACCCTAATGATTGACATATAAAGGTCAAATTTGTTAGTTCCTAGAATTAATTCCTCGTGTCTGCAAAGTAAGTGACTTTCTACTTTTATTCCTTTTCTTATAGAGCCTCATTGGCCATCCATAGGTTGAACCTAGCTCTGGCATACTTTGAAAAGGTAATTGGTGATGTCATTGCTACCGAGGGTAATGACACATCAGATCTGATTAGTCTYTATGAGGAAATTGCCCAGATTGAGCAGCTGAGGAGGAACCATGAGCAGGCCATCCAGTACTTGAAGCAGGTTGGTGAGTTGTTTGGGACCCAAACTTCCTGGTCTTGTTTGGCCCAAGGGTCAGGGAAGTGTGGGCTTCTTGTGGGCTTCTTAGAACAAGGGGTGGGATTGRTTCCATGTTAACCCTGACTTCCTGYCAGATCCACACAACACCCATTGTCAACCTTAGGTGACTTGAGCAAAGAATACTGACTCAGGTGAGTATATCAGCTGTGCAACCTTGTCAAGAGACAGTTCTCGCCTTCCAAGGCTTTTTTCTCATCTGTGGGTACTGGGAAGAGGAAGCCAAGTGTGAGTTTACTCCTAGGGGAAAAAACATAGGGGCAACTGAACTTAAGTCTTCAGCAAACACAAAAGCCCTTTTAAATGAAAAAATCATGTTATAATGTTGTCATTTATCTTTTAAGCTAAACTAACTGGTTATATTTCTAAGTCYAAGGTTAAACTGATAAAAGGTTGTTTCACTTGGAGGTAACTAATTTGACAAATGCCAAAGGGAAACCAAAACAAAACAGAACACAGGAAAGGAATGTTGAGTCTATCATATGAAAACAGTTTAGGGTACTTTGACATATTGTGTACTTCAAACTGCTAGCTGAATGTATCTTTTCTTTCTTCTAAATTCAAATGCTGCTTATGGCTTCAAGTATCTCCAATAGCCACAAACAAAACAAAAGGCTRGATCTTCTGCACTGTAGAAAAGTTGTAGTGCAGTCTTAGAGTATATGTGAAAACAGATAGCTAATGAAAAGGCATTACATATAATTTGACAATCCAAGAGAATAAGCATCCCACGATGGAGAAATGTTAGGAAATACATCTCTAAAGGCAGGGAATCCACTCTTAGAGGAAGCTGCTCTGGGTTTTGAGTTCAAGAGTTCTTAAAGCCAAGGCCAGATCAAAATGGATAAAATTGTAAATATCAGTGTTTCCCATTTTATAAATAAAATTTTATAAATTTTATTTATAATTTTTTTATAAATAAAAAATAAGGGTTAAAACTCATGGAATGCTTTTATTACGTATACTTGAGTGTGTTTTAATTCACTTAATCCAAGCAAGAACCCTATGAAGGAGGCGGTATCATTATTATTTTGATCTCGTGTTAATGATGAGAAAAGTAAAGCACAAACAGTTAGAGCTAATTAGCTGAAGTTGTATAGCAGGTGGAAAAGTGGGGATTTGAACCCAGAAAATTTCACCCTGGACACTATACTTAAAACAATTCTGTTCTAATTGTTATACATGACAGCAGAATGCATTTTAGTTCATAGCTCACAAATGGAGCACATTTTTTCATTTCTCTGCTTGTATGCAAAGTAGAGCAAATAGATAATTTTTTTAAAAAAATTTGGAATACATCCTAAGATTATATACAATTTGCTATAAATTTTTAAGTTTTCTCCAGTGTAAGAAATAACTGAACCTCATGGTTTCAGAATAGAAAGAGTAAACATTTTTTAAAATTTGGGGGGGTTAATTTTTTTAATTTGTTCTACTTAGTGGTACATGACAGCAGAATGCATTCAATTTATCATACACAAATAGAGCACAATAAGAGTAAACATTTCTTAATTTATTGAATGTGACAGGGGACAAGATTTTTATTTTCTGACCTATATGAATCAATACTTAATCAATACTGCTCAGATCAATACTTAAGTGCCTTTGGTTAAGTGAAACAAAATCACTTCCATCTGACTACTCATATAAATTAAAAAGTCATTTTAAACTTAAAAATGAGAAAAAAAAACAACTGTGCTCTGTATCTTGGCTTTACAGCATTGTCTGATAGTCCAACTCCTTCAAACACCTCTCAGAGTTCAGCCCATGACATATTCAGTACAGGTGTTCTTTTCTTGCTGGTTGATATGGACTAGATGTTTTTACTCTTCTTTCTTCTTTCTGATGCTCTTTTAATTTTAGCACAAAAAATAATAATAAATAATGAAATCTTAGACTTCTTTAGTTCTTACTAGATGCCAAGTGATGTTCTAAACACTGTACATCTATCAGCTCATTAATATTTACAACAATTTGTTGTGACAATTCTGTTYCTGTCATCTGTGTTATGTTTGAAGAAGCTAAGTGATCTATCTTCTATGGAGATAAATCTAAGACAGGATGGGAACTTAGGCAGTGTGGCTGTAGGATCCATGCTTTACAATTGACTTTGATACTGAACTCTTGTGGAGGTTAAAGTTATAATTTTATTTTTGCTGTGAAACCTAGTAAAATTAATACTAGCTAATATTGATTGAGAATTAACCATGTGCTGGAAACTGTGCCCAGAGTTTTGCATACACCAACTCATTTCATCTTTCCCAAGCCCTAATCAGTAGGAACCATATGTTTCTTCTACATAAGAAGGTGAAATTACTTGAGGAGGACTCAAAGCTGTGGTAGAGCTGGGGCATCTTTCATCTAACTCCATGATTAGCTATACCTTGGCTTTCAATCAACTAGCAATTCTATCAAAACTGCCAGAAAATCTACAGTAAAATTGTCATGTGGGTACTTACTTTGTCATGATTTTTTTTTCCAGGCCTATTCTATCTCTGTTTCTTCATTCACTGAAGTCAGCCCTCAAACTGCAGAGGCAAGTGCGTTACTAGCCAAAGCTTATGCCATGTCTGGAAAGCCCCAGCACAGGGGTAGGTAGAAGAGGTGGCCTTGCAGTTTTCATCATTTCCCAGTTAATATGGGAAGATATTAGTGAACAATCTATCTATAAGAAATATTATAATTAGTTACTCATGCTTGTAATGGAAGGATTAGGCAGGTCATGATTTTGTACAATATCAATTACACAYGAATTTAGACCTGATAACATCCTCCCATATTACTTGGAACAYCAAAACCAATAAAATCATCTATTTTTATATTTCCCTTATTCTTTTAGAATCTCAGTATAAGGTACCTTTATAAGATGTAGAAATCATTTATACTATGAAAGTGACTTGTGATGTATTGATTAATAAGGAAAACTAATGATAAAAGAAAACACTGGCTGGTCCTCCCCTCTTCCTCCACTCTCAATCTCCTGGGTGCTTTTCCTCTGGCTTATAAGACAATGTAGCAATTAGAATTTTCTTGACCTATTTCCTAAAGTGAGTTACTGGAGGAGTTCTGGAGGAAAGCCAATGATTGATTGATCTTTCAGACAGAGTCTTTTGCCTGGCAAGATCATCTTTTTGAAAGTGGTTGACTTTGGGAGAGACAGAAATGAGCCAGTGAGGGGCTGGGCCTGTGGCTMAGTGTAGACCACTTGCCTAGCATGTGTGAGGCACTGGGCTAGATTCTCAGTACTGCATATCAGTAAATAAATAAATAAAGGTCCATCAATATCTAAATAAAAATATTTTTAAAAAAGGAGTTGTGAAGAGTATTTGTATTTAAAAGAAGAAGAAGAAATGAACCAGTGAAGGGAAGACAGTATATTTTTCATAGCTAGCCTGACCAGAAATGAACACTGATTGAGTTGATGCCCAATCAGGAGGAATTTAGGATTTGTGAACAATGCAATTTGAACATTTTTCAAATGTTTACTTTTTTATGCTTATAACAGTAATTCATTTTGGTGTATGTTATTTTTCAGTTGGGTGGGGAAGAGGAAGAGACGTTTATAAATGTTTTATTCCCCATGTCATTAAATAAACACTTTTTTTTTAGTTTGCAGAAGTTTTGACATTTTAATTAAGTCGTTTGCTTAAGCATAAATGTTTACTGAAGACTTTCTAATTCTGTGTTTTCCAGCTCATCATTTTCTCATTTTAATATTTCTTTGTGTATAAGCACAGTTTATGTATTCCATGTATAGTAAAAATTTTTAAAAGTAGTTTTTGTAGTATTAAGAAATTTAACATATTCATAAACGTGGAATTTTAGCCTTTTTTCTGTGAGGGGGAAAATCCCCCCAAATTTATGTTTATAAGAGTTGGTAGATTCTAAGAGCACCTTATCTTTTTCTTACATACTAATTTTTAATGTTAAAATATATATCTTCAAATCATTATTATTCATTAATTAAGTTAAATTCTGGATAGATTGAGATTTTACACATGAAAACTAAAAATATATATTAGCCAGAAGAAAATACATTCTTGACATAGAAAGTACTAAAATTTAAAATTGGAGGAAAGAAGAACTTTCTAAGCATAAATAAAGATATAACATGAGAAGAAGTTGACTGACTTAATTACAAAAAGATCTAAAACTGTGTCTGTCACAAAAGTGTTGTACTTAAAATCAAAAACATCAAAGCCATAACCTGAATAGATCTTTACTTATTTTTAAAACTGAATTTGTTGTTAATCTCCCATGAAAAGACATCTCCAGGTACAGATGATTTTACTGTGGAATTCTACCTAACATTTAAAGAAGGAATAATACTAGTTCTATTTAATATCCTCCAGAAAATACAAGAGTAGGCAATACTTTTGGACTAATTTATGAGGCTAGCATTACCATCTACCAAAACTGGGCAAAGATATTGTAGGAAAAAATAGAAATTAAAAACAACCATAAACCAATACCTTTCATGCATGTAGACAAAAAAATCTTCAACAAAATATATAGCAATACATTAAAAAGTAGAATACATCTTGAATAAAAGAAATTTTTCTCTTAAGAATGTCAGGCTAGTTCAATATTCAAACCTAAATAAATACTAAATACATTTTTTATCATATTAACAGGCTAAAAATGAAAAGCACACAGTACCTATCAACTGATGCAGAAAAAGCATTAGACAAAATTTAATATCCATTACACAAGGAAACTTTCTTAATCTGATAAGGCTTGTAAGAGAAATCCTACCACTGAGATCATGCTTATGGTAAAAGACCATGTTTTCCGCACAGTCCAATGACAAGACACGGATGTCTACTGTAACTATTCTTATTCAACATAGTACTAGAATTCTTAACTAAGGCAATAAGGTGAGAAATTAACAAAATACATAGAGCTTAGGAAGAAGTAAAGTGGTCCCTATTTAAAGACAATGTGGTTATCCCTGTAGAAAATTTCAAGGTCTACAAAATGCCTAGAACTATTAGGTGAGTTTAAGCTTAGCAAGGTCACAGAATAGAAGACCAATGCACAAAAGTTTATTTTTATATAGTAACAATACAAGGCTAGAAAAAAATTTTTTTAGAAACACCACTTAGAATAGTTCTCTGTCCCCAAATAAAATATTCAGGTATAAATCTGCTAAAAAAAAACACCAGAATTTGTGTACTGTAAACTGTAAAACTCTTGATGAAAGACATCAGAGACAACCTGAATAAATAGAGAGATATACTATGTGTGGATTAGAAGACTTACTATGATTAAGATGTAAATTCTTCCATAATTACAATAAAAATTCAGCAGGAATTTTTGTAAATACAGATAAGATGATGTTAAAATTTATATGGAAAAGGAAGAAACTAAAATAGCTGAAAAGATTTTGAAATTAAGATTAAAATTGGAGGAAGAATAGTATCTGATATTAAGATTTTCTATAAAGCAAAAGTAATCAAGAGCATATGATATTGATAAAGGGGAGATTAGTGTCATTAAAATCCAACAGAAACTTCAAATGTAAACATATGTAACTATAGTTAAGTTTTGACAAAGATATAAAAGAAATTCAATATARAAGGGATAATCTTTTGAACAAGGGTATTGGATACATGCCAAAAAAAAAATTAACTTAGCCTTTTACTTATACCACACACAAATATTAACTCATAATGGTTCATTATCCTAAATGTGAGAGCTAAAATTTACATTTACATAGAAAAACAGAGGAGAAAAGATGAAGGAAACTGCATAAAATAAATAAAAATGGCACATAATCATATGAAAAAGTTTTAATCAAGAAACAAGTAACACAAAGATGACATCTTTCTCCTATTGAATTTTCAGTATTTTAAAAAATGGTAATAACATCTAGGATTGATAAAGAGCAGTTTGATACAAACTATCTGGAGAACAGTTTAGAAAACTCTTTGGAAAAAAACTGGAAGAACTACATGCATGTGCAAGGGATATGTAGATGGCCAGTGGAAAGTATCAACCAAGTGATATTTGAAATATGCCAGGCCTTGCACTGCAGTGCTCATACAGATCAATTGATGGGATAGAAGACTTATAGGCTGGAGGTTTTTGAGTACATTCTCTGCCCAAATCATSGAGTCAACACTATGTAGACACAGGGGTAACCTTCAGGAATCCAAATTAAAAATGAAAATATGCATTAAAACCTGAGCAAAGACTTCCAGTTTTTGGTCTGGCCTTTAAGGAGCTTGGAAATCATCACTGTGTCCTAACAAGTAAAAAGTAAACTGAAAAATGAGCAACTCTTCTTAGATCTGTTAGAGAAGCGAGATTTCCCCTGATTTGGAGAGACAGGTAGAATTACAAAGAAAAAAAGTAGAAACCCTTCTGCACAGGGCCTAATACCAGAGAGGGAGAAACTGAACAGTAAAAAGAAAGAGTTATTTGAAGCTCAGCATGGACACATCTGAGATTTAAAAATCCCACGGAGACCCAATAATAGTGGGGCCCTGCACACTTTTGTGAGTTTTATCTCTAGGAGCTTGACTAGGTTTTCAAAATTAATGTTAGAGAAAAATCTACTCATTCTCTGGCAGGAGGAGAGAAAAAATAACCACTTGGAGATATGCCAGAGCATTCTTTGGCCAGTTCTCCATAGAAACGGTTTTTAAAAACCAAATCCTAAATTATTGAATTCTTTCAGAGTTTACTGACCTTGGGAAAGGAAAATACTCAATTTCAGCACCTTCTAGCTTTCTGCTTTGGGGAAGGGAATTGACTACAATTGACTCATCCATCCTGTCCCACCTAAGAGGAGTAATGAGAAGTACTGTGAAATTTGCAGTCCAGAGGTATAGGCTCATTAAAAGACCAAGACCTAATCATAGGACTGTAGAATGTTTCTCCTCACTTCGTACATTACCATCACAATGCTTAAGGCCTGTTTTACTGCAGTTCCTCTGACACATTACATCATATCTCACTATCATACCTGTAAGCTCAGAAAACAAGAAAAAAAATTACAAGGCACACTAAGTGGGTCAGTCTTTCATTACTATGTTCAAAATAACTGATAAGAACTTTAAAGGAGTAAAAGTTTATTTTGGACCCAAAGTTTCAGATGAGCAGTCCATGGATTGACAGCTTCAGTACTCTGGGACTGAGGCAAGGAAGCACATCATGATAGGCAGGCTTGGAGGAGGAACACCTCTCAGCTTGGCAACTGGGAAAACAGAAAGGGYGAAGAGACAAGGACAGAATATGTAATCTCCAAGGCATGCCCCCAGTATCCCACTTCCTAAAGCCATCCCTGCCTTCCTACAGTTAGCAACTAGTTAGTCCATTCACATTATAAACCCACCAAATGGATTAATCCACTGGTTAAGCTACATCTCTCAATCTCCCTTCACCTTTGACAATTCCTGCATTGTCCCACATGACCTTTTGGGGGACACCTCATATTTAAACCCATAAATACCAAAAGTCAAAAATCAACATTTGAAAAAACAGAGCAAGATGAACCAAACTCAGATATGGCAGATATGTTTGGAATTATCGGACCAGAAATTAAAAGAACTATGACTAATATTTTAAAGCTTCCAATGGATAGACATCATGCAAGAATAAATAATATAACTAGATTGAAATACTTAGAATAATAATTCAAAAAAACACTAGTTGGTGCAGTCGTGCACACCTATAATCCTAGTGACTCAAGAGGCTGAGGTGGGTGGATCACAAGTTCAAGGCCAGCTTGGCAACTTAGCAAGAACTTGTCTCAAAATGTAAAATGAAAAGGAATGGTACTATATCTCAGTGGTAGAGCACCTTTGAGTTCCATCACCAGTACACACACACACACAGACACACACACACACGCACACACATACACAAAGAAAACCAAACCAAAAAAGCGCCCCCCGCCCCCCGCAAAATAAAAGGAACACTAGGTAGTTGCTAGAATAACAAAAATGAAGAAKGACCTTGATGCACTCATTACCAGACTAAACATAGCTGAGGAAAAAAACTATGAAATTGAGAATTTATCAGTAAAGACTTCAAAAACTGAAAAGCAAAGAGGAAAAAAATACAACACAATATTTTAGGCTTGTGGAACAATTACAAGAAGGTGTAACATATGTATGTGTGGGAACACCAGAAGAGAAGATAGAGAACAGAAGAAATATTTGTAGCAATAACAGAATTTTCACCAAATTAGTGTCAGATGCCAAATAGCAAACCTGGAAGCTCAGAAAACATCAAGCAAGATAAATACCAGAATAAAAACACAAACAATCTCMAGCCTATACTAGGCGTATCATATTCAAACTGCAGAAAACCAGACATAAAGAAAAAAATCGAAAGAAGCCAGAGGTGGCAAAACACGTTGCGTATACAGGAGCAAAAATAAGAATTACATCTAACTTCTCACCCAAAACTATGCAATCAAATAGAGAATAGTTAAATGTTTCATTTTGAGAGATAAAAGAAACCCCCCAGCCAAGAATTCTGTACCGTGAAAAGTTATCTTTCAAAAAGTGAATGAGAAATAACAATTTTCTTAGCAAATTGAAATTGAAGGAATTTGTTACTAGTAGACTTGCCTTGCAAGAAATGTTAAAAGAAGTTTCTCAGAGAGAAGGAAACTTATGTAGATCAGAAACACATATGTACACAAGGAAAGGCAAAGAACTGAGAATAAATAAGGGATAGTAAAATAAAAAGTATTTTTTCTTATTCTTAACATAAGTTTGTTCAAAATCATAGCAACAGTGTATTCCATTATTTATAATTTTGTATATGTGTGTGTATACACACGTGTTTAAGCCCATGTAGAAGTAGAATGAATTACAACAATCACACAAGTGATGAGGAATAGAATAGGATTATTTTGTTTTTATAAGGTACTCACACTACTCATAAAGTGATATTGTATTATTTAAACATGAACTTTGGATTGAAAACTCTAGAGCAACCACTGAAAGGAGTAAAAAGCAAACAAACAAGTATAACTGATATCCTAAAAAGAAAGAAAAGGGAATCATGTAAAATGTTCAATTAAACCATAAAMGGTAGTAAAAGAATGAAAGAAAATATTGGAAACAGAACAAGTGCAACAAAATAGAAAACAATAATGAGGTGAAAGATGTTAATGCAACTATATTAATCACTTTAAACATCAGTGATCTAGGATTAAGGATATAGCTCATGGCAGAGCACTTACCCCACATGTCTGAGACCCTGGGTTCAATCTTCTACACTGAAATAAATAAATAARCCAGTAGTCTAAATAAATCAGCTTAAAGACAAAGTTTTAATATTCCATCAAAGGCAAGACCCAAATATATGTTTTCYACAAGAAACCCACTTTAAGTAAATTAAAATCATTAATTTAAAGTAATGGGGTAAAGAGATATATCCCTTGCTAACATTAATCAAAATAAGGGAAGAGTGGCTAGATTAGTATTGGAGAGAATAGACTTAGAACAAGAAAAGCTATTAGGGATTAAGAGGGGCATTAYGTAACAATGAAGGGGTCAGTTCTCCAAGAAGGCAATCCTTAACATGTATGCAGCTAACAACAGAACGTCAAAATACATGATGCAAAATTGATAAAACTAACAAGGAGAAATAGAAGCTTTCACTATGATAGTTAGAGACTTCCATACCCTTGTATCAGAAATGGACAGGTGCACTGCTTCCTGGCCTTTTGGCTAAGATCAAGTGTAGAAATGGAAAGCTCCAACTGACAAAAATCAGTAAAGGTGAGCGTTAAACTCAATGACATCATCAATCAACTAATGTAATTGATATCTATTGACTGCATCCAATCAACAACAGAATCCACATCTTTTTCAAGCTGCTAAGGAACATTCACCAACATAGACCATGTTCTGGGTCATAACAAACTTAAATGAATAGAAATCATACAATCTGTACTCTCAGACCACAATGGAATTAAACTAAATAAATAACAGAAGGGTACTGAAAAATACCCCAGAGATTTGGAGATTAAATAACACATTTCTAAATAATGCATAGGTTAAAGAAGAAATCTCAAGAGAAATTTAAAATATTTTGAGTTAATWTTTTTTAAATGAGAACAACAAAATTTGTGGAATGCAGCAAAAGTGTGCTTAGAATATAACTTACAGCATTGAATTAATTGAAAAAAGATTTAAAATCAATAATGGGACCTACTGCAATATTATTAGGTCATGGTGGGCACTGTCCTTGGAAGAAATTAGTTCTTTTGGGACCCTGGTTAGTTTATTGAGGTTCCATCCCCCACAAAATAGGAACCTCAATAAACAGTGATCTCTGTATCAAGAGTTTTAGTTAAAAATATTGTCTTRCAGTACACTTGGGAGTTTCATGTGGTAGTTATGTTAGCTATTAGGATAATAAGAATATTCAGATAGAACTTTCTTTTTCTACATTAAATACATGTATTATATCATGGAAAGCATCTGATAGCATCAGGGTCTTTTTTAAGGGTACTTATGAGATGTAATATGAAAGTAAGCCTGAACTTTAAGTGTCAAAGTGTTGATTGAAYCAAAGCTGATATTAGAAACTTGTGAAGGCTAGCACTTGTCTTTATTTTTTCCAGATGCTGTTGAGGCATATTTTATAAAAAGTATCAGTGCATATCAAGCAACACTGGGCTCAGAGGATTATGAAACATTGACTACCATTGAAGAATTTTGCAAATGGCTTGTTGAAAATGGAGATAAACAGGTAAACATAATCAGCTCATAAACATAATTGCTAGTTTATTTATTATATCTGGACATCTTTTTTCATCTCATTTCAAACTGGAGCTCAGAAAAGTCTCAGTTAAAACTAGGAATAAAACAGGATTGGTTGGTGCTGCTTGGGATATTAGTAGAGTATTTTTCTCGTATCTTGACACATACTGCCCTTCAAGTACAGAATATATATATATATATATATATATATATAAGCTCTAACTTTATAAGTTTAATATTTTAAGTCATAATTGACTTCTACATTTGGATCTGACTGCCAATATTTTTTTCATTGTGGTATTTACCTCTCAACCTGACCTTCAGCTCTTATTAGCCACAATTTTGTCTTCACATTTTAAAATGTTATAGAAAATGCTTTGGACTGCTGACTTTTTATTTAGAAATCTCACGTGCCTAAACTATTGCTCAAAAACTTAAGACCTGAGCTTTTTGTGTTCAAAAATTTTGTGAATACCTTTGTCTGTAATGAGATCCCAATAACTTTGATCTGACCAAACCAAATTTATACTTCCTTGGGTAAGTGAAAAACATGGATAGATTTGATATGGTCACACTTAAAAGTAGGGTTATAAGTTTATGAAAAGTAAGAAATTATTTCTAGGAAGGAAGAAAACTTCTTTATATCACATTGTAATATTTTTAAATAAATGATGACATTTAATTATTATTTTTTAATTTTAACTGCAGCTTGTTCAAGCAAAAATCCTACAGTAATTTGCAATATTTTTTTTGCACTCATGATATTTTCTGTTGATTCAGAAGATTACCACATGATCAATGCCACAGATTGATCTCATGTTTACTTTTACTTTCAAATATGTAAAAATGACTTGTCAGAATTTTAGAGTCTATCTTTATTATGTTGTCTTGTGAGATGAACGTCCTGACTTGTTTATGGTAAAACACTAATTAGTTCCTGATGGCCTTCTGCTTCTAAACAAGTGCTTCCTAGTGTTCCAAGCTCCTAAACAAAGACATATAAAAGGTGGCTCTGAATATAAACCATGTTTAGGATTATAAACAATCATCTTTACCACTGGAAAGCAAATTTCAAGAGGACAGGAAATTTTGTCTTTTAGTCAATACAGTGTATCCATTGGCTGAAATGTAGTTGGAACATGGAAGGTGCKCAATAATAATGGAATTAAATTGTCAATATTTATAGCACATTTTCTATTTTTAAAAGTAGCTATTTTCTCACCTCCAACCCTGATATGAGTCTCTAACCTATTCTCAAGGAACAAAACAGAAAGTCAGATAGTTTGGGAGTTGTATTCCTCTGGAATATAATTTTTTTACTTGGTAAATAAAGATTTTTGTCACTGACTTAAAAAAAAAGTGTCCATTTGGCTAGAACCACCATCTTCCAGCAGATCATCAAATGACAAAGGCAAAGATAAAAGAAAGAAGAGGTACTTACCATATGTTTTCTGGGCTTTTAAAAAACATTGAGTTTTCCTGACTGGGCATAGTGGCACATGCCTGTAATCCCAGTGACTTGGGAAGCTGAGACAGAAGGATCATGGATTCAAGGCCAGCTCAAGCAACTTAGAGAGAGACCCTGTCTCAAAATAAAGTAAAAAGGACCGAGGGTATAGCTTGGTAGTAGTGCGCTTGCCTCACTTTCATAATGCCCTTAGTGCGCTTGCCTCACTTTCATAATGCCCTAAGTTCAATCCTTACTACTGCAACAAAGTAAAACAACAAAAGAGAATGTATACTTTTTTTTCCTTTGGCCACTTACATGCAAAACAGATGATATTATAAATATTAACATGCWGACTGGGGATGTGGCTCAAGTGGTAGCGTGCTCACCTGGCATGCATGTGGCCCGGGTTCGATCCTCAGCACCACATACAAAGAAAGATGTTGTGTCCACCAAAAACTGAAAAATACATATTAAAAATTCTCTTTCTCTCTYTCTCTCTCTTTAAAAATAAATAAATAAATATTAACATGAAGAAATCAGTCAGTGTAATATACCAACTTGAAGAATAAAAATTATATGATCATCACAAAAAATGTAGAAATAAACTTGACAAAATTCAATAATAATAAAATAATAAAAAATCAGCCAACAACCTATGAATAAATGGAAATTATCCTCAATAAAGATCATATATGAAAAGCCTACAGTTAATATCATATTCARTAGTAAAAATTTAAAAACTTTTTCTCTAAAATTTGGAACAAAATAAGGATACCATCTTTCTTCACTTCTTTTCAATGTTGTACTAAAAGTACTAGCCAAATCATTAGGCAAGAAAAAAGAAACAAAAAGCATTCAAATTGAAAAGGAAAAAATAGAAATTTTGTTTACAGAATGATATGTGTTGTGTTAAAAAACCCTAAAGATTACACACACACACACACACACACACACACACACACACACACACACGATAGAACCGATAAGTTCAGGGCTGGGGTTTTAGCTCAGTGGTAAAGCACTTGCCTTGCACACGAGAGGCCCTGAGTTTGATCCTTAGCACAATATAAAAATAAATAAATAAAAATAAAGATATTGTGTAAAAAAAAAAACCCAAAACTGATAAGTTCAATAAAATTGCCTGAGACAAACATATAGAAATCAGTTGTGTCTTTGTACACTAATAATGAACAATCTGAAAAGGAAGTAAGAAAACTATCTCATTTACCATAGCATCCAAAAGAATGAAATACTTAGAATTTAATAAACTTAACCAAGAAGGTGAAATACTTGTATACTTAAAAAATAATGAAATTATAATGCATGTTTTCCTACTTTAAAAATGCAAAGATATTATAGAGCTCTGAGATTCCTAGATTTTTTAATATATATTTTTTAGTTGTAGATGGGCACAATACCTTTCTTTATTTTATGTATTTTTATGAGGTGCTAAGGATCAAATCCAGTGCCTCACACATGCTAGGTAAGTGTTCTACCACTGAGCTACAAACCCAGCCCCAAGATTCTTAGATTATTGACAGAATTTCCTGGAAAGCAGCAATTGAAGCTTTTTAAAATCAGTTGTTTAATATGGCATATAAAGGATAAGGGTTACACTTTCAACTTAGTTCTGAAGAAATGTTCTATTTATACATGTCAAAATAGAAATAATAGGTAGTTTAATTATTTCAATTATATGGGATTCAATTATCTTGAAGGTACAATGATAACTAAACCTCATTATCCTCTCTAAAGAAAACACATTGGAAGGCAAATACATAAAGCAATATGATAAATATTTTTCAATATATACTGATCTTTTTTGCTATATTGTAAGTAGTAAAGAATGAGCACTAATTGCTTTGGCTAGCATTTGAAGGAGTATGTTGAATAGGAGTGGAGAAAGAGGTCATCCCTGTCGTGTTACTGTTTTTAGAGGGAATGTTTTCAATTTTTCTCCACTGCAATGATGTTKGCCTTGGATTTAACATATATAGCTATTATAATGTTGAGGTATGTTCCTACKGTCCATAGTTTTTCTAGTGTTTTGAACATAATGAATGTTGAATTTTATCAAATGCTTTTTTGGCATCTATTGAGATAATCTTGTGATTCTTTCTTTAAGTATATTGATGAGATGAATTAAATTTATTGATTTCCATATGCTGAATCAGCCTTGAATCCCTGAGATGAACCTCACTTGATCATGGTACACTATCTTTTTAATATGTTTTTGTATGCTGTTTGCCAGGATTTTATTAAGAATTTTTGCATCTATGTTCATCAGGGGCATAGATCTGAAGTTTTCTTCTTTGATGTGCCTTTGTCTGGTTTGGGTATCAGGAGGATACTAGCTATTAGACAAAAGGAAGAAAGGGATATGAATAGGAAAAGAAGACTGCAAATTATCCCTATTTGCTGATGACATAATTTTATATTTAGAAGAGCCCAAAACTTCACTAGGAATCTTCTAGAACTCATAAATAAAATCAGCAAAAAGTAGCAGTATATAAAATCAGTTGTGTTTCCTATACACCAATGATGAATCAGCTGAMAATCAGGAAAACTTCCCCTTCACAATAGCCTCAAAAAAAAATTGGGAATCAATCTGAAAAAAGACGTGAAATTCCTCTACAATGAAAACTACAGAACACTAAAGAAAGAAATTGAAGAAAACCTTAGAAGATGGAAAGATCTCAAATCTTGGATAGGCAGAATTAATAATTTCAAAAAGGCCTTACTGCCAAAAGCACTATACAGATTTAATGCAATTCCTATTAATATTCCAATGWTGTTCTTCATATAAATAGAAAAAGCAGTCATGAAATTCATTTGGAAAAGTAAGAGGCCCAGAGTAGCTAAAGCAATCCTTATGGAGAAATGTGAAGCAGGGGGCATCATGATACTTGACCTTAAATTATACTACAGAGCTATAGAAACCAAAATGGCCTGGTATTGGCACAGAAACAGTCATTAAGACCAATGGAACAGAATAGAAGCCACAGAGACAATCCCACTAAATAAAATTATCTCATCCTAGACAAAGGTGCCATAAACATACATTGGAAAAAAGGTAACCTCTTCAACAAATGGTGCTAGGAAAACTGGAAATCCATATGTAGTAGAATGAAAGTTAAACCCTTCTCTCACCCTGCAAAAAAATCAACTCAAAATGGATCAAGAACACAGGCATTAGACCAGAGACTCTATGCCTAGTAGAAGAAAATATAGGCCAGAATTCCTCAACAAGACTTCTAAAATACAAGAAATAAAATCACGAATCAGTAAATGGGATAGCATCAAACTAAAAAGCTTCTTCACAGCAAAGGAAACAATCAAGAATGTGAACAGATTGCCTACAGAATGGGAGAAAATCTTTATTACCAGCACCTCAGATAGTGTATTAATCTCCAGGTTATAGAATGGGAGAAAATCTTTACTACCAGCACCTCAGATAGTGTATTAATCTCCAGGTTATATTAATAACTCAAAAAACTTAACACCAAAACAAAAACAAACAAACAAGCAAAAAAAAACCCCAAATACTCCAGTAAATAAGCAGGCTAAGGAACTGAATAGGCACTTCACAGAAGAAGAAATACAAATGGGCAAAAAAAATATGAAAAACTTTTCAATATTCTCTAGCAATTAGAGAAATGCAAATCAAAACTACACTGAGATTCCATCTTACCCTATTGAGAATGGCAGTTATCAAGAATACAAGCAACAATAAATGTTGGTAAGGTTGTGAGAAAAAGGTTCACTTATACATTGCTGGTGGGGCTGCAAATTGGTGCAACCACTTTGGAAAGCAGTATGGAGATTCTTCAGAAAACTTGGAATGGAACAACCATTTGGCCCAGTTATTCAACTCCTTGGCATAAACATGAAGGACTTAAAATCAGTTCACTACAGAGATGCAGCTACTTCAATGTTTATAGCASCTCAGTTCACAATAGCCAAGCTATGGAACCAACCAAGGTATCTTACCATAGATGAATGCATAAAGCAAATGTGCTATATATATATATATATATATATATATATATATATATATACAATAGAATATTACTCAGTCATAAAGAACAATGAAAATATGGCATTTGCTGGTAAATGGATAGAACTGGAGAATATCATGTTATGTGAAATAAGCCAGTCCCCCCAAAACAAAGGCAGAATATTCTCTCTGATATGTGGATGCTAATTCACAACAAGGGAAGGAAGATTAGAAGTTCATTGGACTATACAAAGGGGAATAAAGAGAAGGGAGGTGGGATGGGAATAAGAAAGCCAGTAAAATGAATTTAAGGTATCTTTTCTATCCTTACATATGAATACATGACCAATGTAATTCCATGTACAACCACAACAATGGGATCCTAAATGGAACAAATTATTCTATTTCTGTACAATATGTCAAAATGTAGATTGTGTACATCTTGAAAGAACAAATAAATTTTTATATTTTTATTTATTTTTTATATATTTTAAAATTTATTTATTCTAATTAGGTATATATGACAGCAGAATGCATTTTGATTCATTGTACACAATTGAAGCACAAYTTTTCATTTCTCTGGTTACACAATGTGGCGTTGCATCATATGTGCATTCATATGCGTACCTAAGGCAATGATGTCCATCTCATTCCACTATGTTCCCTACCCCCATGGCCCCTCCCTTCCCCTCTCTCTTTGCCCAATTGAAGTTTCTCCATTTTCCCATGCCCCTGCCCCCAATTATGGATCAGCATCCACTTATCAGAGAGAACATTTGGCCTTTGGTTTTTTGGGATTGGCGTACTTTGCTTAGCATGATATTCTCCAGCTCCATCCATTTACCTGCAAATGCCATAATTTTATTCTCTTTTAATGCCAAAAGAACAAATAAGTTTTTTAAAAATGTCACAGCCTTCTCYGGTGGGAGAGTGAGTACTAGACTGAAAGACAGCTGGTCTAAACTTTTTAAGATATATTAAAATTATGAAAAATAAAAATTGCAAAAGACTATGGAATTATGAAAACTAAATGCAATATAATATTCTTAGTAGATTTTACTGGGACAATTAGAAAATTTGCACTGGAATATATATGAAGCTAATGGTATTGTACCAAATAAAATTTATTGATTGATAATGTTCTTGTAGTTAAAGAGGAAAATGTTCTAAGAAGACATTGCTTAAGTATTTATGGGGAAAGTATCTTGATGACTACAACTTATTTTCAAATAAAATATGGATAGATATATATTCACCCTTGTGTGTGTGTGGGTGTGCACGCACGCACTTGGGAGAAAAAGAGCACACTAAAGCAAATGTGGAGAAATGGTAATCATTTGTGAATCTAGGTGAACATTTTATGAGTATCCATCCTATTACTTTTCAGCTAACAAAAAAGTCTGAAATTTTTTAAAAGAAAGAATGAGGGCTATGGAATTCAGAATTCAGACTGTGTGGTGTTTGAATCCTGAGATGGTCAGCTATAGGTTATGTGATCTTTGGCAAGATCTTTAGCTTTTATAAATCCTCATTCCTTCATCTGTAAAATGAGTACAACAACAGTTTCTGTCACACTGGATAGTCATGAAAATTAAATAATATTATACATGTGAATTAACTACTTTTAGTTATAAGCTTGGAACTTTAACTCAGGAGAAACAAATTGTTTAGGTGACACATCATAACTGTCCTGGTGGGGCCAAGTCATCGTAGGATAGAATGCCTCCTTCACAGAGCTCGTGCCATAGAAACCGAAGGCTCTTTCAGAACTGCCAGGTTGATTTTTTTTTTTTAATTCATCCCCTAGGAGGCTTACAAACTGCTAAAGGCTTCACTGAAGTCCCAGATCATCAGCTATGGTGACTGTAGCAAAAAGGTGGCTGAAACTTTTTATAACTTGGGCAGGATCTGCTTTGCCAAAGGAGAGCTCAGAAAAGCAATTCAGCTGCTAAGGAAGGTGAGCCAAGGAAGGTGAATTCTGGCTGGTTTGTTACATTTTATCCTGGGCTTATCAGCAGAATTGAGGAGTGATGTTTGTGTGTGTGTGTATATATATATATATATATATATATATATATATATATATATATATATATATATATATATATATATATATATATATCTTCCCTTTTCCCTTCCAGGGTGTACAAACCATTAAAATGCTTTCAGAACAAAGGCTAGAGACTTAGTAAGATAGATAGGGATGCCTCTACCTAACACCTAGGTTTGTTCAAAGTCAGAGAAGAAGTCTATAAAGATCAACTAACACTCAAGTGAGCAGAGGGTGGAGTGACAGGCAATCCACATATTGCATTGATAAACATCAGGTTTGGACAAATTTTTGTCTCATTTTAGGTTAGCTTAATGTAAACAAAAAAATCACAAATAACAGGAAAAAGGTACCTCATTTGAAGAGAACCACCGTAAATATCCATGGTTCTTTTTCATGAAGTGTCTGCTAAACATCTTCTGGGGCTTTCAGCTCTCTGGGAGAGTCTGGTGAGCTTTGGTCCCCTTTCCTGTATAATGCCCAGAAACAGTCAAAACAATAATCTGGGATAATCATAGGGTTAACCTCACTTGTTATCCTTTTCTTAGGGATCATGGTCTTTTATTGTCTGATGTATGGTATCTTAAAAGTTAAAAAGTTTCAAAAATTCATGCACTTTTGTCTACTTTTTTTTCCTTTTTTTTTTTGTTGATTCAGGTATAGAGAAAATCTGGTCCCTACCATTCCATGTTGGCTAGAAACAAAGTTCAGCAATAAAATTCAAAATGGAAAACTACCTAAAGTAAAATTATGCAGCATGAGAAAACAAGGCAGCTTTGGGATACATGCCTAAATCTCATTTTACTTAATTTCTATCCATTAGTTATAGCTATGTGGAAAATCCTAATGGAAACCACTACTGTAGTCATGTTTTAAGCAGGGATGATATCAGTTTGGGGCTGTTACTTTAGTTATCAGCAGCCATTTTTGGTAGAGGACTGTGAAGCAAACTGGAGTATGCATGCAGCATGAGTGTTATAGAAGGTAACCAAAGAGGCTTCAGTGACAGTTCTTTTCCTACTTGGTAGGGAACCAATGACATGTAATATAGGCATTCCAAATTTAAAGTTATGACATTCCAGTTCCACTGGTCCTTTTCTGAGTTAATTTGCATTTAAGGTACTTGCTATAGGATTCTCTTTAACCTATTATGTTTCTCACTTCACTTACAGTGTCTGATGATTCAAATTCTTGTATATGGAAGTGAGCATAGTAAAAGCAAAGAGACAAAAGGCCTCCTTACCCAACTGCAGAGGTAAGTTCTGTTCCTGGGCATCAACCAGATCATCAGTGTGAAAATACATCTAGCAAAGGCCTCTCACTGATTAAACCAGTGTTTAAAGTCCGCTTGTTCTCTGCTGTGTCTAAAAGACCAAACAAGAACAATTTTAAGGTGGAAAAGTTTATTGGGGGCTTATAATTTCTGAGGTCTCAGTCCATAGATCACCAGTTCCATACCTTGGGGCTGGAGGTGAGGCAGAACATCATGACAGAAGAGTGTGGTGGAGGAAGGCAGATCAGGACATGGCCACCAACAAGTCAAGAGAGACTCTCCTCACTACAGACAACATATGTATCTACAGGTACACCCGATGACCCAGCTTCTCCAGTTACACTCTACCTGCCTACAGTTACCACTCACTACAGTTATCACAGGATTAATGCACTGATTAGGTTAAGGTTTTGATAACTGAATCGTTTCACCTAATATTGAAACCATACAACCAGGTGGTGATGATTTACTTCTGTCATTGTTACTAGTAAGACAAAATTATGCCTCTGCTATAGATTTAGCTAAATCCTATGCTGAGGGTAACCAACTTATTTCTTGTATTCTCTTAGAACACAGTATTGTAGCTAGGCACAGTGGTACCCACCTGTAATCCCAGTGACATAGGAGGCTGAGGCTGGCGGATCACAAGTTTGAGGCCAGCCTCAGAAACTTAGCAAGAACCCTGTCTCAAGATAAAAATAAAAAGGGCTGGGGATTTAGCTCTATGGTAAAGTGCCCCTGGGTTTGATCCCTAGTACTAAAAGTAAACACACAGTTTATAGCTTTCTGCTACAGTAATAATGTTCTTTATAATATCTTTTTCAATGCCAAACATTATAGCTAAATTCTGCAAGTTAATGCAGTGTGATAGATATGATATGGGTTTATACAAATTCAATTATTTTTCTTGATGAAGGTACAAAGTCCATGTTCCTAAATGTATGGTACATTCATTGGGAATTTACTTATTTTCAATGTTAGTGATGAGAGAACTTGTTTGTATTCTGTTCTTGAATGTTTAGATATAAACTGAAGAGAATATATGCAAACTTGCCTCATTCTTTAGCCGTGGTATATTACTGATGTTATTTACCTCTACATGATGTTGACACTGAACTGTTCTCTGAGAAAGAGGAGAATTAAAATTAGTTGAATATTTACTAACTGCCTATCTCTCTAGTGGAGATAGATCTTATTCATAAAGTATTTTATTTAAGCCTTACAAATACCCAATTTGAAAGCTCTCATTTGATAGAAGGGAGCCTGATGTTCTGTAAAGGAATTTGCCTAAAGCCTCTGTCTTGGACATTCAAGGAAGTGCTACCCTTTAGACCATGTGCTTTTTTCTGAGAGCCTCAAACAAAGAGGGTCATCCTTATTGGGTGAGAGTTAGGACCCTGATTGCATTTACCACATGGGACTCACAATCCATCTGTTCTCAGTGGGCTCACCAGGGAGACAAAATGAGAAGGAAGAATACTTTCAGCCCATCCTCTCTGCACCAACCTCAGTCAGAGTCACATGTAAGGCAGGACCCACAGAAGGCTGGCTCCTTTTTAAAAAATCCTTAACCAGAGGATGAGGTTCTCCAGCTTCCCTCTGTGATGCCAAAGTTAGGAGTATAGAGAGGAACAGCCAAAYGGCAACACAGAGAACTTTGTTCCTTGCTTGTCAGTGAATTGAAAGCATGTTTGCTTAATAAGTAATCATAAAATATGAACAATTATCATATCAAAGTCCTTCATTTCCCTGACATTGTACTATATTAATATGTGTTATTTCTGATTGATAAACCACACTGCTGGTTAGGTATTTTTTGTCTCCCATGATGAAACAGAGGCYCAGAATATTTGTATATCTTGTCAGAAATCTCCAATTTGGTAAGTGTGGTAAGATTTGAATCTAAGTTGATTAGATTTCAAAACTTCCCTTATTTTACTATATAATATGTATTCAGATTTTGATGATGGGTACACATATGCGCATTACCAGTTCATCAAGTAAGACTCCAGAACCCATTTTACATATGAAGAAATGAGAACTGACTTACTTGAGTTAATTTGCCCAGGAAGAGGCAGAACTAGAATTTTAATACAGATATCTTACTCTAGGATACATTCTCTGCAGGTGATGTAGCTTGCACTCTGAAGGTAGACWTCCTGGATTCAAAACTCAGGCTCTAACTCTCAGTCCTCTGACCTCAGAGAAGTTACTTAATCTCCTTCAGCTTCTAGTTATGCATTGGTAAAATAATAGTACCTTCCTCAGCAAGTGGGTTATCAGAAATAATGAGATCATATGTTACAGTGCTTAGATCAGGGCCTGGCAGGTTTTAAATGCTCAATGAATGTTGACATCATAATAATGAAATAACAATAATAAAAGTAATTGTCTTTCTGAGGTGCTAGAGATAATAAATAGGTCAGAATGTTCAAATAAGAGGCTTCTGAGAATCACCCTATTATTATTTTATATTAAGAGTATTGGTGAGAAATATACATAACTAGAGTCAGACCTGTGATCTTTTTTTATTATTTTATTTTTCCCAAAAAGATTGGCATGTGAATATCTATTTATTTATTTATTTTAAATTTAAAAATTTTATTTATTCTAATTAGTTACATATGACAGCAGAATTCGATTCAATTCATATTACACAAATAGAGCACAATTTTTCATGTCTCTGGTTGAACACAAAGTAGAGTCATACCATTTGTGTTTTCATACATTAACTTAGGGTAATGATGTCTATCTCATTCCATTGTCTTTCTACCCCTGTATCCCCTTCCCTCTCCTCCCTCCCCTTTGCCCTATCTAAAGTTTGTTCCTTCCATGCCCTCCTATCTCCATTATGAATCA